GCATATTAATATGCTAAGGTAAGCATTTAGCTCAAAGCACCAGAAGTTTAGCCTCAAAGAGCCACTAGCATGGCTGACTCTCTGTAAAGGAAACCCTGCTCTGCACCACTAAGGTCACGTGTCACGTCCATGCCAGGTATTTCGTCAACTTTTATAAGTTGTTAGACAATGAGACAATATTTTGGTGATAGACTAGGATTCAGTGTTAGCTCAGAAATAGTGCTGGCGTTTGCTTAACACTATTAGAATCAGGACCAGATTATGGAAGTTAGACAGCGGCTCACATAGTCATATTTTCCCACACACCTTCTAGTGCATGACTGTTTCCTTTTCCTTTTATCATTGAGCTGGCTATATTTACACTTGCGCTAACATCTGATAGCATAAAGTGTCAGTAAATAAACACAACAAGACAAGACGAGCACACAGACATTACAATGTTGCGTGTGTGGGCGTATATGTGTGAAAGAGAAAGACGAGAGAGGAAGAGTTGGTGGTGGGCGTGAGGTAGGTGTTTAGTCAGGTCTAGTAAGGAATCCATGTATTCACTCTCCCCTGCGAGGTGGGAAGAGGAGACAGAGAGAGAAAAAAGAAAACGGCACCTGCTGCAACACACACAGCGTACCCGTGCAATCTTGTGGGAGGAAATGAGGGGCTGGAGGCTGGTGGGTGGGATTACCAATGATTGAACCTTTTAAGAGCTCTCTAACTCTCTCCATTCTTTCCTCTCTCTCAGCCATTTCTCCATCTTTCTGCACTATATCCCTTCCATCCTGTCTCTCTCCCTCTCTGTCTCTCTGTCTATCGCACTCTATTTCTTAACTTAATGGCAGTGACTTATGTTTCTTAGTGGGAGAGGTGCTGTGTATAGATAGAGCCGCAGAGTTAATCAATGAAATGCACTGCCGCACTGCAGGAGCTTTGGCTGAGGCCTTCCTAGCTCTACTATCCGGCAGACACACAAATATATACACTCCACACTCCCTGTGGCCTCCTACAGAGTCAAAGATCAAAGCACTGAAAGTAAAGGTAGACACACATAGCTAATATGCTAATGTATGCACAATCCTGCTATGAGATGCATGTGAGCCATTTCATTTGTTATTTATTGGCAAAGTTGAGGTGCCAAAACAGCTTTGGCGTACAGTGAGGAATACCCCTGGTGGGCATCGAGAA